TTGAGTTCATGATGTCAGTAGGACTCTTACAATCGAGAGCCAGCTCCCATCAGAGCCCACAGGTTTCTGCACAGCTATTTATAGCTGGTGCAGAAAATAAATTATGCATGATGCCGGTCCTGGGGGGAAGGGAGGCCGCGCGCGCGCTAATGCCTTGTTTTCTCTTTGCATTTTCATCAGCCCCGAAATAGGGAAGCTAACAGGGCGATTAGGATGCAAAATTCACTCCCTCTAAGGAGTTTCCTGAATTATCCAGCTAGCCCGGGAATCGTCAGGAGGTCACGGGGAGTCTGGAGTCGGATAAAAATAGCAGGAAGCTCCGGGTTGCGGAAGCACTGCGAGTCAAAACGGGGGTTGGGGGCGTGGTGGCATGCGACACACCGTTTTCCTGGGAAAACACGGGAAACTGTATCTTTCCTCTCTCGGGGAGAACTGGCTCCTTTCCCCAAAATTTGAACAAGGAGGCAGTCGGTGGACTTAGAAAACGTGTTCCCTGCCAACCCTTGTGTGAGGGCATCACACGGGAACCAGCTACTCTCGAACGTGGCAGTCGCAGCAGGCCAGGCGGCACACGGTGTCAGGACTGGGCAGACAGTCAGCGGCACCAGACCCCTTCAGAGCGTGCTACAGAGCAAAGACGTCAATCAAAGCCATCACCTTGAGGAGTCCAGTGTGCCTGACCCACCCCAGGGCCTTTCCAATCACCTCCTCTGTCGGCCAGAGCTGGAGGAGGACTGGGGAAGACGGGAATCACGGTTCCTGGGAAGAATAGTGAAAGTACCACGGACCGATCAAAGGACAACCCATCTCTCGTAGAAGAAGCGCAGCCTGAGGACTCCTTAGAGGCAAGGATGGCAAGACTTCATCTCACGGACTCTGGCCGTGTGGTCAGGAGGGACCAATCCTGGAGACGGCCACCGGGCTGGGTGATGTGAAGGCGTGGCGAAAAAGAGGAAGGCCCTCCAGGAGATGGACGGACACTGTGGCTGCAAGAATGGGCTCAGGTGGAGGTACACTGGTACAGATAGGAACTGAAAATACAGGGAATCCAGGACGGATGAGCCCTATAGGACCAGTGGTGTGAGTGGCAAAACAGGGA